CAACAAAGAAAACACCGAAAGGGGGTTTGGGGGTGGGGGTGCTGTAATCAGCAAACCTTACACATTTATAGGGTGTATGGGGTATTGGCGACGTGGTCGCCCATTGGTTTTCCGGTAAATTTTACGCTGGTCTCCCCATTTACACACTGATACACACTAGCTCGCTTCTGATTGCACGACCTACTGACCACCTCACTTCTAATAGGTCGGCCTCGAGCGATCCGACTTTCACACAAGGTCACTGGGATATTCCGCACTCGCACTGATCCGTGTATTGTTTATTTCACCACGCTAGAGCTTTTAACACTTCTAAAACATTTAGATGCTGGACTAACACACAACCCCCCTAGAGGGTGACAAAACCTATGTCACAGGACGTCTCTTACTCGGAAATAAAAACATAAATGCCAAACAACAGACTGCGACACCCATAACCTCGACCACCGTAGACTAGTCCAACCAACTTATCAATGGAGTTGACATACAACCGTTGGTGTGTAAATGGGGAGACCATCGTAAAAATAACCGGTTTTCCTTTGGAGGACTTCCACCCGATAATTTGGGTCAGTCTTCCTTGATCACATCAACACTGCAGGGGTCTTTTTTCAGGGTTCTTGGTGGCGTGCAATGCTATTTCATAATCTAACTTATGGGGGAGCCCTATAACATAACCTAGTCACAATTATAACCTAAAGCTCCCCCCTACAAGGATGCTGGCAAAAATTGACAATTTTTCAAGCAAAGCAACGGAACATCAATGGGATAAGTGGGGTGGAGGGTGTTAATAGGGGCGTCAGATATCCCCCCCCCCCCGCAACCTAGTCAGCACGGCGCTGATGATATCAGCGCCGCCCACGCATCTTACCGTTTGTATTGGTGCATCACTTGCTAGCTGGGATGTAAGGCCTCGGGTTCCGTCGCCCCTGTCTTGAGTGATCTCGAGGCACGGCGTCAGCCTCGAGAGCTGAAGGTCCCGAGTTTAGGCCCCGGTGAAGGCTGAGGATTTTTTTTTTTTCACGTGGCGTATGTGGTCAAGGCCCTCTGGGAACAAGTAATGAAGTCACGTGGACTTCTAGTAATTTCCCCTGGTCTCTGGGTAGTAAGACCGGACGCCCCTGTGTACTTTTGCGCACGTAGAAAAATCCTTTGGCAGTTGGAAATTGAAAAAAAAAGTCGCCTAACGGTGCAGCCCGGGCACAATTTGGAGTTTAAAATCTACCCAAAGTATTTCAGGATCCTCGCCGGTGATACGGAGTTTGTGCACTGCGCTGAGATTCTTCAACGCTGACTTGAGTTAGAAGTAGAACGGAGCACTAATGGGCTACTACCCTTGTGCCACGATGTTGATCCGCTGCATAATCATATGTGCTAGCGATATATATTTATCAGTCGGCGGCAACTCATGGAAAGTGATATAGCTTGGACAGATTCCCCATAGCGAGATATCTGGGGAAAAGGGTAGGGGGGGGGGGGGGGGGGGGTTGGTTTCGCAATTTTGAGGAATTGTTATTGTTGTTTTAATTTCGCCCGAATACACATGCTGTCTGCGTTGTCAAGGCAACACAAGTCGGCGGCTGGTGAGAAGGCTCTTCATTCTTACAAACACAGGAAGGCCTTTTGTGGCGGGAAATTTACGAGTGTTTGTGTGTGCAGACGCATCCATAATCTTGCTTACTAACTTATACTGGGAGGGGAGGGGGAGTGGGGGTTCTAACGACATTATAATAATATTAACTTCAAGAGAGATAAATAACAAGCTTATATGAGAATGTTATGTGTTATGAAAACTTAACTTTGGTGCAAAAGTAAAGGAAGAAAAACAAGCGCCCCCCCCCCTCCCCCATCCCAAAAAAAAAAAAAAAAACGCTTGGTATCTTTTGCAGGACGTTGCAGAACACATCCCAGCATTTTTGGGCAGATTTACGTTCAGTAGTTTGCCACTGCACGGTCGACTCTCGATACCATGTTTGAAACCAAACGCAAGACGGCCTGCTGCCAAATCGCCTTCAGCTGGGATCGAACCCTGCACCCCGGCGTTTCAAAGGGTCTTTCACAACGCCTAAGCCAGAGACGCTGACGGACAAGCGATTAGAATACTGAATTAAAGAATAAGCAAATGTGCGCGCACATAAAGACAGGTTGAATTTCAAGGAAGCAAACAATAAAATACAGACGTTCTGAATAGAACAGGAGAGTTGTTTGTTGTTTGAGTTCACCGGTTGCAAACACTAGCGGACAGACCTGGTTTATCGTTCATTTCCAGACTGGCTTTGTCACAGGACCTGAGTTTTACGTGTGCATCCGTTTTGCAGATCTTGCTTATTTGTATGCAGACTGTTGGTTCCATTCTTGTTTTCCCCCACAATGGGGCCCCCAGCCCCCACAAGGGGAATAAAAAAATGCCGTTTATAAATTGACAACCCAAGAACGTCTCCCTATATGATGTGCTGGCAACATCCCAGGTCAAGATCATCATCCTACACGCTGTGCTCCCAAACTGAACACATCACAAAACCCCAGCCACGTGACGTGCTCCCAACTCCTCACATAACGAGCCTCCACCTAAGCCAACCTGCCATATCTGTCGCAGCTGCGAATAACAAATGAACCCTGTCGCACTCCAGGAAACTATTACTTCTATCCTAGTGTGTGCTTTGAAATATAATTAATTTCTATGTCTTCTTCTGCGTTTACCCAAAGATGTAACAGTTTGTGCCTGTCTACAGCATGGCTGCGATATTTGTGCCTTTCTGCCGACCCATCCGATTTCTGAAGGCATTTGTTGACCGGGTTAGTCTTCCCGGTTTGAATAATTCGAATGTATCGCCCCCCCCCCTTCCCGCCATCTTTTTTCCGTGAAGGTTCCGGAGACACACTTTTTGGGGGTGGGGGGCGACAGAAGAGAATAGATTACCTGCACCCCTAACAAGCATGTCGTGAAAGGTGAGCTTTAAGGGGTGTTTACTTCCAAGTGGCAGTGCATCTCTCTGAGCAGTGAGGAGCCAACAGTCTGCATACAAATAAGCCACACTTGTAAATGAGATGTGCACGCATAACGCAAGTTCCTGAACTCAGCCAAAGTCCAGAAGTGGATGAACAATCGGAACATTTCCCCGCAGTCTACAGCTGGCCAGTGAACGATAGGAAAAGGAAGAGGAGGAGGAAGAAGAAGGAGAAGAAGAAGAAGACGAAGAAAAAAAAAGAAGAAGACGAAGAAGAAAAAAAAAAAGAAAGAAGAAGAAGAAAAAAAGAAAGAAGAAGAAGAAGAAAAAAAGAAAGAAGAAGAAGAAAAAAGAAAGAAGAAGAAGAAGAAGAAAAGAAGGAGGAGGAGAAGAAGAAGAAGGAAGGAGGAGGGCTGGCAGTCGAATACAATGCTGCCGATGTGTGGCCTCTTTCATCAAAGTACGTCGTAAGGTTTCTCGTTTTCAGTCAACGAGTTTTTCATCCGTGTCTGATCTGTAATTGCTGGCCCCATTTCGTCACAGAACGTGGCCCTCCATTGGCTACCTTCTGTCTCCCAAAACTGCAGAGTCCAGTGGTTGTACAGATACTTCCATGATCTCTGCTTCTGTTTTCATCCAATTCTTCTTGCTCTTCTTAACGTTTACCGGCTGTAAACTCGGGCGGAAGAGTTCTGGTTGTTCGTCCACTTCTAGACTTTATTTTCGTACCAGAACTTCAGTTTTGTGTGCACATCCGTTTTACACATCTGGTTTATTTGTATGCAGATTTCCCTGCTTTTAAGGTAGATGCACCCCGCCTTTAAAGAAAACATCCCTAATTAGTCAACGTTTGTTTACGACATGCTTGTTAAGGGAGCAACGGGTCTACTACCCCATAATGGGTTCCTGGGACCAATACTGAGAAATTCATCCCATTAAATGAACACCAAGTTATTATTAAATCTACTGGACTATATATTTACCGTGAAATAGAACAACACAATTTCCTTTCCACCACCACCACCACCACCACCACCATACATAGGGAAATCCCACAACCCAAAGCTGAACTATGGGATCTAGAATACAGACATTAAGAGAATCAAATCAGCAGTCTTCTGCATACATATGGTTTACACTGTAAATGATTGCGGAAATGGAAGGGGGAGGGCGGTTTTGGAAAAGGGGTGGGGGAAGACACACACACACACACACCTAAAAATGAAATAACTAAAAAAAAAAAAGGGGGGGAGGGGGCCCCACGAAATATGTTTGTTGGCAACCTTTATTAACTCCTCAGCATTTTATGAAGCTAATTTTTCTTTTTAAATAACAGATGTGTTACTTGTCACTAATCAGATTTCTGATTACACTTGATGTTAGTTTGTATCTTCGAACAGCAGAATTTATCATTACTTTATGTTAGCTAATTTGCTCAATTAGTATAGTTCCACTTATATTCGATGTTTGCTTATTTGTTGAACTATTTTAGTTTCTGCGTAGTCGTTTATTTCAATTAGTATAATTTCTGCTTATAAATAATGTGTAAATACATTCATACACACACACAGAGAGAGAAAGAGAGAGAGAGAGAGAGAGACAGACAGACAGACAGACAGAGACAGAGAGACAGACAGACAGACAGACAGACAGAGACAGAGAGATGACAGGAAAAAATAAAAGGCATGCATACAAACAAGCAGAATATGAGACAACAAGAATTAGAAAAGACAGTGAGGTTAATACGAGAGATAACACTGCAGATATAGATAATCTACTTCAAGCGAACACAAGAAGAAGCAGACAAAAAGATAGGCAGCCAGAATGCCAGACAAACAGAATCGTTACTGAACCGACAGATTAAAAAGCATGTAGACAAACAGAAGGATGAAAAGATTATCAGAATGAAAGACAGACAGACTGACATCTGAAAGGAGAGAAGAAATGGCGGGGAGAAAAAAAGGAGATAAATAAAATTCACATTTAAGAAAACATACTTAAAACACACATATAAAAACAAACACGCAGACATAAAACTGCCAAAGTGCAACATTATACCTGGTTGGCGCTGTAAAGCAAGAGAGCATTGGCCAGGTGGTGGCGGTACTGTGAGTCTACTAGCTTCTTGTACATAAGTGACTGGTTACAGGGTTTGGCCACACACACGCAAAACACCAGGCAAGTGCGGGTGCAAACAGGCATCAACAAGATAACCACATACGTGGGGGGTAATGATGAGCAAGAAATTATAATAAAAAAAAAAAACAACTGCAACCAAAGGTTACTTACTACAACAGAAACACATCAAGCAGGTACAGAAAATGTATATGCACAAGAAAAATATGAAAAAATTGTCATGAAAAAAAAAAAAGCACTTTCGTTTGAGAAACAAAAACATTTATGTATATGGTTTGTGTGAAGTCTATTTTCTTTGCTTTCTGGCTGACTGTAATTCATTATTATTTATTAATCCTTGTTTAAAATTACCCCCAATAGTTTGTTTCTACCGTTTCATTTTCATACCTTTTCTTCCCGGGACTTCATCTCTTCCATCCTTTTCTTTTGTATTCTCCTTCCTCTAGCTTCTTTTTCTCCTTGCTCCAGCTTCTTGTACATAAGTCTCCTTTCTCGAGCTTCTTCTTCTTTTTCTTCCAGCATCTTCTTCATCTCATTCCTCCAGTATCTTCTTCATCTCCTTCCCCATAGCATCTTCTTCTTCTTTTTCTTCCAGCATCTTCTTCTTCTTTTTCTTCCAGCATCTTCTTCATCTCCTTCCCCTAGCATCTTCTTCATCTCCTTCTCCTAGCCTCTTCTTCATCTCCTTCCCCTAGCTTCTTCTTCATCTCATTCCTCCAGCATTTTCTTCATCTCATTCCTCCAGCATCTTCTTCATCTCCTTCCCCTAGCATCTTCTTCATCTCAATCCTCCAGCATCTTCTTCATCTCATTCTTCCAGCATCTTCTTTATCTCCTTCACCTAGCATCTTTTTCATCTCGTTTCAATCTCGAACTATAAAACAACAGTATATAACACAAAAACCCTTTGTTTCTTGGAATACAGTGCAATAGTAAACAACAAAAACCTTTTGTTTATCAAAAAAAAAAAAAAAAGTGCTTAAAAAAAGACAAAAATGTTTTGTAGAGATTAAAAAAAAAAGGTAAAAAATTAACAAAAACAAAATTAACACACTATAACTTAATCCAAACAAACAGTGGAGATTATTTCCATTAGTTCATGTCAAAGTTCATAGAACGGAGTAGGACATGTGTACCAGAGCTATTCAGATGGTGGTCCATAGACTGAATCCAGCCCACTGTACTGTACTCATGATCTTTATTTCTATGCTGGGGAAAGAAAGTTGGGGCTTTTTGGCCTGTGGTGAACCCCACTGTCTACATTTGGGCCTCTGAGTAAACTTTGTTGAACAGCCTCATGTCAACAGTCTTGTCCTGTCCATCCACTTGTGGAACCATAAAGGAAGTCCCTTAGTAGATACTGCCGGTAGAATGTGAAAGGTCATGATTGAACTTATCCCAGGCCCCATCATATAAGGTAGGATGACCGGTTTCTTCCCTTGCTATTGATTCTTTCTCTGAGAGTTCTCACATCTGGTGTCTAGTATATTATCAGGCTGCATCCACCCAAGAGCAGTCCTTGGGGAGCTGAACCTGGACTACTGTCTCAGACAGGCAAGCCCAGTCGCCCTCTATTTGAACCAGAAGAACTGTTTTATGTCCCAGTAGCAGGTGTGCTGTGTTGTCTCTGAAGTCTTGCTGACATTGTTAATCTATCTCTCACTAGTTTTCCTCTGTCTAAACCAGGCGAACTATTTTATGTCCCAGTACCAGGTGTGCTGTGTTGTCTGTGACCCTCTGAAGTCTTGCTGACATTGTTTATCTATCTCTCACTAGTTTTCCTCTGTCTAAACCAGGTGAACTATTTTATGTCCCAGTACCAGGTGTGCTGTGTTGTCTGTGACCCTCTGAAGTCTTGCTGACATTGTTAATCTATCTCTGACTAGTTTTCCTCTGTCTAAACCAGGCGAACTATTTTATGTCCCAGTACCAGGTGTGCTGTGTTGTCTGTGACCCTCTGAAGTCTTGCTGACATTGTTTATCTATCTCTCATTAGTTTTCCTCTGTCTGAACCAGACGAACTATTTTATGACTCAGTACCAGGTGTGCTGTGTTGTCTGTGTCCCTCTGAAGTCTTGCTGACATTGTTAATCTATCCCTCTGAAGTCTTGCTGACATTGTTAATCTATCTCTCACTAGTTTTCCACTGTCTGAACCAGACGAACTATTTTATGTCCCAGTACCAGGTGTGCTGTGTTGTCTGTGTCCCTCTGAAGTCTTGCTGACATTGTTTATCTCTTATTAGTTTTCCTTATGTTCTTTAACATATTCTTCTACGTCAGTAAAATGTAAACAGTTTCTTTGCGCACTGATAAAGATTCTGGTCAAAACATGCAACTGTATTTGTGGGCGATTTTTCATTTTCTGACTCTCCCTTACCCTCCAACTGTTTTCCTTCCGCTGAGCTTTGAGTTGAATTGAGTCAAGAATTGACATCACTGCACTCAGGGTATTCCCATGCATGCTCCGTCCTCATCTTTAGCAGCCAACGCAGAGTTCCAATACTGATGGTACCGGTCACAATCTGGTTAAAAGTCCGTCTTGCCTTTCCTCTGAGTGTAGTGAGCCGGCCAGACCCTCTGGTTACACCCAGGTGCCTCATTCTCTCCAGGCCATAATAATCTTCTTTCTCTACTGATTCTGTTCCCAAAGGGCCTTGGCCACATCTGCCTTATGTATCAATTCACCACCAGTGGTGCGGATCCAGCCAATCTGTCTGCCTGTTCATTACCCACCATGCCGGCATTGCCTGGAGAAAAGATCCAAAGTGTGCTCACAACCCGTGACCTTTCCAGTGAAGCTAGCCACTCTGCTCGGAGCATCCCTGCCCTCATCTTTTTCAGCATGCTTTCAGAGTCTGTTACAATTACAACATGTGTATGCATCTTGTTCTCTAGTCACAGGAGAGCTTCAGTTACCGCCTCCACCTCCACTCTTATGCTAGATGTTGTGGTGAAAGCTGAGCTTTCTGCAATGGCAAACTACTGAATGTAACATAGCCTAGTGAAATCACAACCAGATAATAAATGCTTAGGTTGGTTTTGCAATTTCCTGTAAAGATACACAACTAACTAAGTTTCCTAGTTATAATTACTGTTTGTATATTTGGATGTGGTAGTTTTGCAGATTCCATTCTCATTATTCTCTTTACTTAATCAATACTTGGTATATGCAAAGTAAGGTTTGGAAAAAGAAAAACTAAATACAGAAGAAAACAACATCTACTGGTGCTATACTGGGTGGAAAAATGAACACTAGGAGAAAACACAACTACAACTGCAAGCATCTAGGGAAGTGACTGCGTGCAAACTAATACAATTTGTAACAAGTGCAATAACATTTACAGAAATGTGTCAGGCTACTATGAAATGTATACAAAAAATACAAATAATGGGTGGACAAGAAAAAGGAATCTAGGAACATTTAAAGCTACTTTTGTGGACAACGAGCAAAAAAAAAAAAAAAACAGTGGGGCTGTCTCTCGCAGACAGGAATACCTTCATGTGAAACATCATCAACTCATTTGCTAGACTGTTTCTGTACTGAATGTCTATCACTTTTTTGTACATGAGGGACTGAAAAGGGCCAGAGAAAACATCTATGAATGTCACTGGTATATGTGGACATTACAGTCTTCAGGCAAGAGAAGAAAACATAGGAGCAATTACAGGGTAACTTTGATTAATATGCAAAAGTAACAATTATCTGAGGCAGGGACAGTTAATGTAGCAGCTGTCTGGGGCAGGGACAATTAATGAAGCAGCTGTCTGGGCGCAGGGACAGTTAATGTTGCAGGTGTCTGGGGGCAGAGACAGTTCATGTTGCAGCTGTCTGGGGGAGGGACAGGTAATGTAACAACTGTCTGGGGAAGGGACAGTTAATGTAGCAGCTGTCTGGGGCAGGGACAGTTAATATAGCAGCTGTCTGGGGCAGGGACAGTGAATGTAGCAGCTGTCTGGGGCAGGGACAGTTAATGTAGCAGCTGTCTGGGGCAGGGACAGTTAATGTAGCAGCTGTCTGGGGCAGGGACAGTGAATGTAGCAGCTGTCTGGGGCAGGGACAGTTAATGTAGCAGCTGTCTGGGGCAGTGACAGTTAATGTAGCAGCTGTCTGGGGCAGGGACAGTGAATGTAGCAGCTGTCTGGGGCAGGGACAGTGAATGTAGCAGCTGTCTGGAGTAAGGACAATTGTTGTAGCAGCTGTCTGGAGTAAGGTCAATTATTGTAGCAGCTGTCTGGAGTAAGGACAATTATTGTAGCAGCTGTCTGGAGTAAGGACAATTATTGTAGCAGCTGTCTGGAGTAAGGACAATTATTGTAGCAGCTGTCTGGAGTAAGGACAATTATTGTAGCAGCTGTCTGGAGTAAGGACAATTATTGTTGCAGCTGTCTGGGGCTGGGACAGTTAATGTAGCAGATGTCTGTGGCAGGGACAGTTAATGTAGCAGCTGTCTGGGGCAGGGACAGTTAATGTAGCAGCTGTTGGGGCAGGGACAGTTAATGTAGCAGCTGTCTGGGGCAGGGACAGTTAATGTAGCAAATGTCTGGGGCAGGGACAGTTAATGTAGCAGATGTCTGTGGCAGGGACAGTTAATGTAGCAGCTGTCTGGGGCAGGGACAGTTAATGTAGCAGCTTTCTGGGGCAGGAACAGTTAATGTAGCAGATGTCTGTGGCAGAGACAGTTAATGTAGCAGCTGTCTGGGGCAGGGACAGTTAATGTAGCAGCTGTCTGGGGCAGGGACAGTTAATGTAGCAGCTGTCTGTGGCAGGGACAGTTAATGTAGCAGCTGTCTGGGGCAGGGACAGTTAATGTAGCAGATGTCTGGGGCAGGGACAGTTAATGTAGCAGATGTCTGGGGCAGGGACAGTTAATGTAGCAGATGTCTGTGGCAGGGACAGTTAATGTAGCAGCTATTTGGGGCAAGGACGATTAATGTAGCAGCTGTCTTGGACAGTGACAATTAATGTAGCAGCTGTTTTAGACAGGGACAGTGAATGTAGCAAGGGTCTGAGGCAAGGAAACTTAACGTAACAAGTGTCAGGAGGCAGAGACAGCTGAAGTAACAATTATCTGAGGCAGGGACAGTCAAAGTAACAAGTTTCTGAGGCATGAACATCTAAAGCAATGTCTGTCAGGAGGTAACAACTGTCAGCGGAAGGGACAGTTGAAGTAACAAGTTTTTTTGGCAAGAGGAAGCTAAAGCGACAACTGTTTGGTATAGAAGTATCAACTGCACAAGACAAGAGGTAATAATCAATTTGTCTATTAACCCTTTTAACCTGTTTCTAAAAAAATATCTTTTTTAAAAAATGTTATTACACATACACTAGGCACCCTTATAATTCTCTGAAACACTGCCCTAAGAAATCAGAGGACAAGCAGAATGAGCAGAAGAGATTTCGAGTCTTGGGCATCCAAGGGGGTGGAACCCCTAGAACTTGAAGCTGACAGGCAAGTGTGAAGTGCACAGCCACATCGTTACCGTCAAATCACTAGAATAACTCATATTAGTTTTTATTATTAATTTTGTCATGCAAAATTATGTTTGTTTTTAAAAAAAGTAAGGGAATTAATTATTAAATACAAACACAGCAAAGAATTAATTGCTTCCCTTCTCTTTTACCATGATAAACATGGTTTTGTTGACTTATCCACCGTCAGCAAAGTGACATCCTATGAGATTATTATGACATCAAAGTAAAAAAAAAAAATACCTTTAATATCTCAAATTTTGGGCGGCATCTATGTCATACCCGCCATGCCTACATACTATGTAGATATAGCCAGTACCAAAGCTGTTTACATACATAAGTGTGTCCCAATGTGGGTTGTAATCTTTTGTTGCTGGGGGCCCTAATATAACCCAACCTATAAGTTTAACGTGGTTTCTGGGATCTGTTCCTGAGTGATCCTTATCCGAATGCCGGCACTTTGTGTCAAAGGGTGTTTTTTTCACTCGGTGTGATGTCCTAGTGCGACTGAATGTCATCATCATCATCATCATCATCAAAGCAGTTAATAGATGCTGAGTGGCCACTGCCCCAAGACTTTATATCATTAGAAAGCTGTCAATGTCAGAAAAACTGCTTTCTTGTGGCAACAAGGTTAACATCTCTTCCCTCTACTGTTGCAAAACATCTCCTCCTTCTAATGGTCCATTACCAGTAACACCTTCCCCCCCTTTCCAGCCCCTAAACATCCCCTTTATTTCTCACACGCCTTTCTTCTACTGGTCTACAGACCCGTTTTCCCCTCTACTAATCAATTAAACTTAGGATTTACTGATTTTAATCATCATCATTTATCTATTTGAAAAACGCAGACATACACATGCTAGCACAATATTTTCTTTCTACCTGCTGGCTTCAAAAACACATCCTCACCAAGAAAGCCAACCAAGGTGTACTTACATGGCTGATGCTAATGCAGCAGTACACAGCAAAGGCAGATGCAACATCCTCATCAAAGGTAGTGAAGTACTGGAACGTTTTTTTGTTACATAACTGGGCCACCCCAAACACCACACCTGGGAGAGACAATCACAGAGCTTTAGCAGACAACAATAACCTCACAAATGTTCAAATTCTGAGACAAAGCAAAGAATTTAAAAAAAAAAAAAAGACGCTAAAATGAGGAACAAATGATCGAAGAAGCAAAGACATCGCAGAAGAGTGCTCAAAAGAAAGGCCGGATGGAAAGGACTGAATTTCATTTACAACATCAAAAGAATTGCAGTGGATAAAATAGAATGGAGGAATTATCTGCAAGTCATGTTTGCCCCATTCCATCTCTTCAGGTGACAATGTTTCACTGGGCTATTGGCAGGCATGGGAATAAAATCCAAAGAAAACAGTGACAATATGTCCCATTTTCACCTGGACAGTCCTTTTTTTTGTCTGTGTGTCCTGGCTGTCCCGACGGTACTTCAAAAGATCGTTAGTTGTCCTGTTTTGTACAGATCTAACAAGCTTGAGAATCAGTTCTATACACTACACTAGCAAGTACAACAAATCAAATCACAGAAAATGCAATCCAACTAGAGAAAACACTTTTAATATTAATTAATTAATTAACTAGTATTTCTTATACAATTTATAAGCTTATTTATTTTTGACCACGCAGAAGATGGACCACAGAAATACCAGAGATAATCAAAAGTACTTTATGCAAAACGAACAGAAGGGCCCGATCCAGAAATCTTTTCCTGCTCTGATGAAGCGAGGCATTCCAGTAGAGAATAGGAGAACAGAAGAAGAAGAGGAAGAAGAAGAAGCAGAAGAAGAAATATTATCATTCTCTAACAATGTGTTAGTTAAGTAATGATAATTCTAGAATGTTTTTAAAAAACGGGGAAGAGGGGGGGGGGGGGGGAAGAGGGGGTGACTTGCTTGGCATGTCCTATTTTTATGTGTTCATAATCATCATCATGTGTGTAGGTGCTCATGTGTCTCGACAGATCATGATCCCTGGTTGCCTGGAAAAGCTGTCTTGATGATATCCCTCCATGCCAACGTTTCAGCCCATCCAGCATCATCTCTCTTGGTTTTATGTGTCCAGCTTATAATATTTGTGAGATGTCCCTTTTCCAGCTCAAGATATTGTGGCCACCCTACCCATTAACCATGGATGAAGTTCCTCCTCTCTATATCCCAAAACCTAAATAGTATTGCAGAGACAATGATGTTGCCCATGCAGCATGATCACTTTCTCTGCCTGCTTTGTTAACTCCAAGAGAAAGGTAACACCAATACATTAGGATCAAAGCATGCTGCAGAAGCAAGAAGCAGTCAGATCAGAACAGCAGTGTTCTGTAGCCTGTCAGAGCTTCCCTCTTAGACCATCTACCATGATCAAGTTTTCAGGTTGCATTTCCTAATCCTAGTATAAGGCTACCAACCCATGGTGCTGGTGCCTTGTCGTGGTAGGATGGCTTGAGTACCCTAATGACTCTCAGAGCTATGTCGGCAGGGGACTTGTTCCCCTGGCAGGTTTAACCACGCCCAACAGATCTTGAGAAGAAGAGTCACACCAAACTAGCACCCTGGTCCTCCAGGTTGGGGGTTGGGAAAAGGGTTGACAACCCATTACCGTTTAAAAAAAAAATACTTTGTTAAGAAAACAGGAACAAGTGAAATCCTTGAACTGGTGGAAAGAAGTGAAGCTTGCCAGATATTTGGTGAAAGGATGGCTAGGGATCAAATCCGAAAGGAAACCTGAAGAAGGACAATAGAACGGGAAATAAAGGAATGTAAACTGACATGGGATACCATGGGCAGAAAAGCAGCAGACCGGCAGCAATGGAGACCACTTGTGAATGCCTTATGTGTCAACAACGACATGAAGAAGATATAGATATAATAGCAAAAGGCTAGTATCCTCCCCAATGCATTCCACCGGAAGCCGCTGGGACAAGTGGGCTGTCAGGTTTGACTGTAAATCCTACATGCGATGTAAACGATGATGGTGTTGGTGATGAGTCACACTATTAGCAATCATAAAGAATAATATCTATGCAGATTGTAAATAATGTCTTGCAGGATTGCTGATTTTATTTGCTGACCTTGTAGTGTACTAAGTATGCACCCAGACATTCAACTTATCTGTTCATTATTTCTTTCTGCCTTCGCACTTAAAAGGGCCGTTGCGTGTTGTACTGTGATTTACAGCCAAGCTCTAATATCTGCGTCTTTTGGCCCAACACATCCGATTTCAAGTAAAAGTAAAATGACTTTTTTCACGCCTTCAGATGTATTAGGCGTACAGAGCTAGACTTATATTTCAATTGACACAAGGTGGGTAATGTGGTCAAAATTATTTCGGCCACCTTTACTTTCCAAGACTTTACCTGATACCCATTTAAGGCTGGGTCAACCTGGGAGCTGAGTTCATTTAAAAAAAAAAACAACTACAAAATTGGCTGAATCCGCTACACCCCGGCAACTCTTACATCCAATTTAAGCAAACCCATACTTTCTACAGAGCAGTGGGTCTATACCCCCCTCCCCTCCCCCCAAGAGGAGCCCTGGAAACCACAGTTTGTGGTGGTGGTGGTGGTTGGGGGGGGGGGGGGGGGGTAACACAGTAAGACAAGAGAATGTACTGGTGGAAACATTAGAACTCAACCCATGCCCATATAATGTGGCCAGGCCATCCAGGTATTTATCACTCAGCCCTATGCTAGTTTTCTGTCAGGTTTACCACCGTATAATGTTATAAGGGCAAAGAAGAAGAAGAGGAAGAGGAAGAAGAAGAGGAGAAGAATATATTGTGTTCCTTCTCAACCCTTAATAAATCAGTAATGTCCATAGCTTCTGTTACAATGCGTCATTCACATCAAAGGAGCCACCTTAATTAAATTCAATCTACAAAGAGACAACTAGCTACATATTGCGTCCTTGAAGTTCATTTTCGTGTTTACCTGAAAAGTAATTTGAAACATGAGCAAGCTCAGTGTAACTTTGCCTTCTCTATAACACTCCTGCATAAGAGTGTATTTATTTTCACCGGCCAGGTCATATATCCAGGGAGTCCCAAAAATGTGGAAATGTTGAAACAATTCTACGCCTATAGAAGTTTTTACTTCATGTAACTCTAGCTTTAGGGCTCTCAGTTCAACAATCGACTATAAAAAAGGGTACCATTAAATGTCATCTACGTCACACAGACACCCACACAGCACTACAGGTTACTTCCTGTTTTATTGGTGCCCCAGTATAACTGTGCTATATGGTTAAATGGGCTATGGTGCCCCAGTATAACTGTGCTATGTGGTTATAAGGTTGAACAGGCTATGGTGCCCCAGTATAACTGTGCTATGTGGTTATACAGTTGAATGGGCTATGGTGTCCCAGTATAACTGTGCTATGTGGTTATACAGTTGAATGAGCTATGGTGCCCCAGTATAACTGTGCTATGTGGTTATACAGTTGAATGGGCTATGGTGCCCCAGTATAACTGTGCTATGTGGTTATACAGTTGAATGGGCTATGGTGTCCCAGTATAACTGTGCTATGTGATTATACAGTTGAATGGGCTATGGTGTCCCAGTATAACTGTGCTATGTGGTTATACAGTTGAATGGGCTATAGTGTCCCAGTATAACTGTGCTATGTGATTATACAGTTAAATGGGCTATGGTGTCCCAGTATAACTGTACTATGTGGTTATACAGCTGAATGGGCTATAGTGTCCCAGTATAACTGTGCTATGTGGTTATAGGTCCTGGGGAAGTAAAGACGGCCAGTGTAATGCTGACCACATTACCCACCAAGTGCCGATTGGTCTGTAAAAATATGGGACGCTCTGTCCATATACCCGATGCGCCTTAGGCGTAATAAGGGATCTTTACTTACTTTTTTTATGTGGTTATAAGGTTGAAAGGGCTATGGTGTCCCAGTATAACTGTGCTATGTGGTTATATGGTTGAACGGGCTATGGTGTCCCAGTATAACTGTGCTATGTGGTTATACAGTTGAATGGGCTATGGTGCCCCAGTATAACTGTGCTATGTGGTTATATGGTCGAACGGGCTATGGTGCCCCAGTATAACTGTGCTATGTGGTTATACAACTGAATGGGCTATGGTGTCCCAGTATAACTGTGCTATGTGGTTATACAGTTGAATGGGCTATGGTGCCCCAGTATAACTGTGCTATGTGGTTATATGGTCGAACGGGCTATGGTGCCGCAGTATAACTGTACTATGTGATTATACAACTGAATGGGCTATGGTGCCCCAGTATAACTGTGCTATGTGGTTATATAGTCGAACGGGCTATGGTGCCCCATTATAACTGTGCTATGTGGTTATACAACTGAATGGGCTATGATGCCCCAGTATAACTGTGCTATGTGGTTATATGGTCGAACGGGCTATGGTGCCCCAGTATAACTGTGCTATGTGGTTATACAACTGAATGGGCTATGGTGCCCCAGTATAACTGTGCTATGTGATTATACAGTTGAATGGGCTATGGTGCCCCAGTATAACTGTGCTATGTGGTTATACAACTGAATGGGCTATGGTGCCCCAGTATAACTGTGCTATGTGATTATACAGTTGAACGGGCCATGGTGCCCCAGTATAACTGTGCTATGTGGTTTAAATGGTTCAACGGGCTATGGTGTATAACTGCGCTATGTGGTTTTAACGGTTCAACGGGCTATGGTGCCCCAGTATAACTGTGCTATGTGGTTATACGGTTCAACTGGTTTTCTCATGATTTGTAGCTATTTGATTCTCATCCTTCAATGTTAATCCTACAGACTACAACTACGCAGGAAGGAACCCAATCAAAGTTTCATGGATAGAAAAGGCAGCAGTGCGACGTTCACAACACCCACGGAAAGCTGATAAGTGTAAGAAAACATGAGTGCAGCCTAATGTTCCAACGCAGTAATTCCTTGAATTACTTGTATAATTTGATGCTCGCTTTCAATTTTTCCGAGCAGAAAAAAAACCGATAACATTTGCTATTCGTCAAATTTGCAGCGTACTCATTATAAAACATATTTATGGTGAGGTTTTTCCCCAATATTTAAGTTCTTTCTATGTTCTATTCACTGGTAATGACAATACAGCAATTTCCCAGCGTGAAGTATTTAGTGCTCACAAACCCGATAAAATTTGCTATTCGTCAAATTTGCAGCGTACTCATTATAAAACATATTTATGGTGAAGTTTTCCCCAATATTTAATTTCTTTCTATGTTTCATTCACTGGTAATGACAATACAGCAATTTTCCCAGCGGTAAGTATTTAGTGCTCACAAAACCGATAACATTTGCTATTCGTCAAATTTGCAGTGTACTCATTATAAAACATATTTATGGTGAGGTTTTCCCCAATATTTAAGTTCTTTCTATGTTCTATTCACTGGTAATGACAATACAGCAATTTCCCAGCGTGAAGTATTTAGTGCTCACAAAACCGATAACATTTGCTATTCTCAAATTTGCAGTGTACTCATTATAAAACATATTTATGTTGAGGTTTTCCCCAATATTTAATTTCTTTCTATGGTTCATTCACTGGTAATGACAATACAGCAATTTCCCAGCGTGAAGTATTTAGTGCTCACAAAACCGATAACATTTGCTATTCGTCAAATTTGCAGTGTACTCATTATAAAACATATTTATAGTGAGGTTTTTCCCCATATTTAATTTCTTTCTGTTTCATTCACTGGTAATGACAATACAGCAATTTTCCCAGCGTGAAGTATTTATAGTGCCCACCTTCCAACCTGGTGGTCAGGTGTTCAAATCCCTATGGAGGCACATTTTTAAAACTGTTCTGATCTTCAACGTCAAACCAACCTAAGAGTATCTGGAAATGATTTTGAAAGTAGAGGCAGCCTGTGCTAAACTGACCATATAACCCAGCCAGTGCTAAATGATCTATCACACACAGAGACACCCAATGCCATTCATCCAAGTAAAAATCACTCACCTTCTTCATCTTTGATTGGGAAGCATAGTATATTTCTGCAAGGAAAAAGTGTGACACCCATATTACCAAATACTGTGTTGTTTATAGAAAACAAATACTGTGTTGTTCATATAAAACAAATACCATGTTATTCATAGAAAACAAATACTGTGTTGTTCATAGAAAACAAATACATTTACAATTATGACAGTAACCATTCAGGTTAGGACAGGCTGGCTGAACAGTTAACGATGCAAGGTTCTCCTGTGGGAGACCTAGGTTCAAATCCTCAGTAAGGTTAGGGGGATTTTTTTTTCTGTCTGGGGCACAAATCAAATCCTAACCGGCACAGTTCGTGGCGACAGCACAAGCCGTCTGGCCCTAAATCCTCAGGCCCAAAGACCTCCCTGCCTACACATAAACACTGGTAGTAATGTTAGTCTATTGCCCATTCAGGACAACTGCTGGCAACAGATAGGACAGGACAATAAGAACACCAGTTTATAGTACAGCTACATAATGTGTTCTCATCCATGTATTATCGGGACCCTTAGAAGAAGTAAAGAATATGTATCCTACTAGACATCTTGTAAGAAACAGCTTCCTCTTCTTCTGTTTGCTCTTGAAAGAGTGGTTGGCACATGGTGTTGTAGTTTACAGCTAGGCTACAACATTGCACCTGCTGGTTGAACACATCCAATTTCAGCAATTCCTAATTAGTGACCTTTTATGACATGCTTGTTCAGTTGTTTAGGGGGGAAAAAGGGGGAGGGAGTGGAGCGGAGGATTAATCCCCCCCCCCCCCCCACCCCCCCCGAACCCCAACTTGGGGATTAGAAGTGGCTAACAGGAGCACTGACATTTGAATTTACTAAGAACAACTGGCCAACTGGTTAGTACATTGGGCTGGCATATGGGAGACCCAGGTTTGATCCTAACCTGCATAGTACATGGTGAATGTACATATTAGCCATGTGGGCTTAAAGTCTGATGGCTTATTCTTGGTTTCGCACCTATCAGGCAGATGTACTCCAACTTCAAAGAAAACACTTTTAATTTGTTGCTCTTACAACAATTCTTGTTAGGGGGTCAGTGAATCTAAATTCTCCCCCCTCCCCTGCACTCCCAATAAGGGGGCCTTAGAGCCCATATAGGGATGTAACAATCCCTACAGTCAACAGTGTGAATCACACCTGGTTTACTAGAGTTAAGAGGAGGACACCACAGCTCTAAGCTGCTCCATTCCGGGACATAACAAGAAAAGTGGGAGGAACATACACACAAGACAGAGAATACTCTATAGCTTACCTGGTTCTAAAGCCAGTGGAATCATCAATCCCTCTATAAAACAGAGGGTGGGAATATGCATCACGGATATTCAGAAGTTTACCTGAGGAAAAAAAGTTACCAAAAAAAAAATAATAATAAAAAAAAAAAAAAACAACATTAGTGCAGCACTAATTTAGAATAAAATGTTAGCAACAGTCCAATTTTCTAGGTGACAGTGTTATATGGTGCTTTAGGGGTTCATGGGGAAACACAGCCCCATGGCGGTGCACAATTCAGGTCATGGATGCAGTTCCCATCAAACTGGGTATTTGGTTCAATTTACATATCAACCATTTAATACAGCATACTCCAAGGGATTTCACACTACAAACACATAAATATGTACACACACACACATATATGTATATATATATATATACACACACACACACACATATACAAACACACACATATACATACATGTGTGTGTATATGTGTGTGTGTCTCTATACACACATATATATGTGTGTGTATACATAGATATACAAACACACACACACACATATATATATATATATACACACACACATATACATATTATATGTGTATACATATATACACACACACATATATATATATCAGGGTGGTAAGACTGGGTTTCCCGGCTTGTGGTGCTTTTAACTACCCCAAAACACCTAGAACTGAACCTAACCTCAACCCACCTACATCCCACAAAAGAGTGCAGCCTAGGTCCCATGATTCCATGCAGCCAAAGTCCCACGTACGCATGAAGCCTGTTTAACACTCCCTGAAATATTCGACTGTCTGTTTGGGGTGAATAAAAATGAAAGCACTGCAGTTTGCTGCTGCTGCTGCTGTTGTTGTTAAAATTAATTAATCAACTGAATGGGGTTGCTAGGATTTGTTCTGTTCGGACTGACATACAAAGAGTGGCCCCCTGGGTCAATGGATATCCTCAGACCGAAGTCCTAGAAGAGGAATAAAACAGAAACAAAGAAATCCTCACACCTGTCGTGGCAACATGTCCAGCAATGCCTTGTGTCTTGGGAAGTCGTATCTCTCCTTGCACCTAAGGATGATACAGAAAAGGTAACACTTACTACAGTGATCAACAAAACCAAATTAACTTGTCAATTCTGAAAAAAAAAAAAAAATACTTTCTGTTGCATAAACTCTTTGTACTGTTACTCTGAAAAGGAATCAACTCTTTTTTTTTTTAAATTGTTGCTCAGGGCAAGTGTTCTTTTGGGGATCTCTTCTGTAAAGCTATCAGCTGTTTGTCTCATATTTTGGGGATCTCTTCTGTAAAGCTATCAGTTGTTTGTCTCATATTTTGGGGATCTCTTCTGTAAAGCTATCAGTTGTTTGTCTCATATTTTGGGATCTCTTCTGTAAAGCTATCAGTTGTTTGTCTCATATTTTTGGGGATCTCTTCTGTAAAGCTATCAGCTGTTTGTCTCATATTTTGGGGATCTCTTCTGTAAAGCTATCAGTTGTTTGTCTCATATTTTGGGGATCTCTTCTGTAAAGCTATCAGTTGTTTGTCTCATATTTTGGGGATCTCTTCTGTAAAGCTATCAGTTGTTTGTCTCATATTTTGGGGATCTCTTCTGTAAAGCTATCAGTTGTTTGTCTCATATTTTGGGGATCTCTTCTGTAAAGCTATCAGTTATATGTCTCATATTTTGGGGATCTCTTCGGTAAAGCTATCAGTTGTTTGTCTCATATTTTGGGGATCTCTTCTGAAAAGCTATCAGCTGTTTGTCTCATATTTTGGGGATCTCTTCTGTAAAGCTATCAGCTGTTTGTCTCATATTTTGAAGGTCTGTCTACACACAGATAAACCAGATCTGTTTAAAAAAATGTCCCGAAACAAGACTAAAGTCGAGAAGTGGACAAACAACCAGGACTTTCTGCTGGAGTTAAAAGCCGGTAAATGCAAAAACGAAGAAGAAGAAAACGAGGGAGAGAAAATCTGCAAAGGGCTTTGTGTGAGTTGCATGAATGTCTAGACTCTACTGGGAGGTTATAGGAAGATGAGGAAGAATAACTCAATTATTATAATTACCCCTACAGTGGACAGCAAATTACTCCGTAACAAAACGGGGCTCCAATAAAAGCTGTGGTCAAAAGGTGTTTCTGAGATTGACTCCTGTCAAATTTGCATCTGAATAGTGACTCTTTGAGTCAAGGGTGTGAAACCTTGGGAAGTCCCACCTGAACATGGATACTTTGCCGTACTGAGAGTTAATTACTCAGTGTACGATCCTGCTGGCGTTCAACTTCATTCACCCGTCTTCGTCTCTTGCTGCAATCTCGGAGGGAGAAATTGTACTAATAATAAAGAACAAATGAATAGCTGCAGAAGAAAACAGTGGAGAAAATGGAGTGGAATTTCAAATACTATATTGAACAAAAAAGGGAAGTAACTCAGCTCTAGTAGGTTCTGCAGCATATGAAGAAGAGGGGAGATAACCACTTTGAAGGGGGGAGATAACCACTTTGAAGGGGGGAAAAAATCGCATGTGCATGACTTAAACTCCTCCAACACCAGAGGGCAGTTACATTGATTATAAATGAACATAATGTGTTCCTTGGAACTTAAGGAGATAATATATGCATAATACACAGCGGAAGTAGCCAGATTTATCTGAAATAATCCCCCCCCTCCCCCACCGCGCGTACACACACTCTCTTTCTGTAGTTAACCACATCTGAAAGGCATTTAGTCAATACTTTTACAAACCCACACATACTGGACTACTGGTCACTTTCTAACTGCAAAGCGTCCCATTTATCTGTATTAAATGGCTGAAGGTAAATGGACACTGTTTGAAAACAGTGAGCCTTATGTATAGTGTAACAGCATCCAGTATGAGAATGGAGATGGAAGCAGTAACGGTAGCTTTCCGATGGCTGGAGAGCATCAACATGTGGTATTTGTAATGAAGAGAACAGAATTCGGAAACAGAAACTGGTGTACTAAATGTAAAATGGCTTGCATATCACAAAATTTATGTCCAGGAGATTCAGGTGTGCGGGGTAAAGAGCAGGCTGATAGACCGCTACTGCCACTCCTCTAGGTGATGAGCCATTTTTTAATAAAATGGAAGTGGTGAAGGCTCTTTGGGATCAAGAGGGCAGTGCAACAGAACAGGCCGAGTATCCATACACTGACAGACTAATTCAGTGAGGATTGAGCAGAGAATCTGGAAGATATTCAACACTGATGGAAAACAGATGGACCTTTGATCAAGTTTCAACTGGTACACTATTAACATTTCGACTCTTCAATGGCTACTGAGGAAAAAAGACAGAGCACATGTGGGAATGTCCCGAATGCAGGGACATCAATTCTTGATTCACTCTTTCATTCACATGGCTGAAATGGGTTTCTAAGATCTGTTCCTGTTTTATTCTTATACAGAGGTTCTCTGAGTCACCGGGTGTTAATATTTTTCAGGTTGCAATCCGGAAAGGGAAAAATAAAAATGAAAGGCACTCTTAGGGTTGCAGGAATGTACAAATAAATTATCTCATCAAAAATGCACATGCATGTAAGCTGCATGCTTGCAAGCACACAACATGACACAGTACAAAACACAACATCTCATGCTACACAAATGGTGCCAGCAAATTCATCATCATCATTCAAAAGATGTTTTTAAGTGCTGCCTGTCTATAATTAAGAGTTGTTAAATGCATGCAAGAAAATCTATAGTGAATAAACAGATAATCTATAATCAAATATGACAACTTTAAATTAACTGTCAAGAGACATGCTAAATCGAACTAAAACAAGTTGTGAGATTAAAATATCAAGGGTTATGTTAAAATGAAAACACAAAGTGCTGTAAAACAAACAATCAGCAGCAATTAAAAAAAAAACAGGATAATAAGAAGATGTGTCTAAAAAAAGCATAAGCATATCACCTATCAATAATGAAAAAAATAATAAAAAACATCAAAGTACAAAGACAAACAAACAAAAGTGAACTTAATAAAAGCTAATTTACAGCGCCCTTTTTCTATATTTATTAAAACAGACCATTTGTTATTTTAAATGTTTCTACCTTAGATTTAATCCATTCATTATCTTAATCCTAGATTATTTTAATTTGTTTGCTACCAGACAATTACTTTTTTCTACCAACTACAAAAATTAACAAAAACAGTTCTGTGTTAAATTTAACTCATTCATTCCCTCACTGCTAGATACTCTAATGTTTCTGTCTCAGTGTTACTTATATCTTCACTTCCATCAGCTGTATGGAAATGATACTAAAATGATGTATGAATGAAATAATGTATGTAAAATAAGATCAGAAGGGCAGAATTTGCCTATGTACTGAATTTTTAACTAGCAAAAACTGTGTTTATTTACAAGTGTGGTGATGTAGGCTGTGGTGGGGTCTTTGAGCCTGAGGAACTATGGATGCATGGCCAGCGCTGTCGCCACAGACTATGCAGCTCAGGACTTTATCCTGAGGATTCGAACTCGAGTCTTCCACTTGAGAGCCGAGTGTTCTTAATCATTCAGCTAGTCGCTTCTCTCAAATTCTTATAATCTTGTGAAAATAAACTTTGTTCATTGGTCCATTCTAAACTGTGGCTATCCTTTGAATAACGGTCCCAAATTATCAAGACCTAAAATATACCCTAACAGGGCCTCAGTCACATGTAAATTGCGGACCTCTTCTGGCAACTACACAGCATACCGCCAAGAATATCTCCCGCGCCACGGAGTGGGGTAAACTAGATGGCTGGGACTCAAGAGGAAATAAAATGGAGAAAGCTGCATGAGATGCGGTAGCTGCTGCTTGCGAGTCCCAGCCATCTAGTTTAGCCCTGCTCCGTGCCGCTCGTAGCGGCGCAGGAGATACTCTCGGCAGCGACTTTAACTCAGCGGAAGCTTTTTCACGGTATGCTATGTAGTCGCCGGAAGAGATCCGCATTTTAAATGTGACTGAGGCCCTGTTAGGGTATATTTTTGGCCTCCATAATTTGGGATCGTTATTCGGAGGATAGCCTAAACTGTTCCTTGACTTCCATTAGGCCAATGTCTATATATATAGGGGCCACGTTAGCATAGTCCAAAGGAGACTCACTTTCAAATCCAGCTGCGACTTGCAGCAGCTCACAGCCGGGGTTCGAAACTGGGCGGTTCCCGGGTTCATCCAGCCTCTAGGTAATGGGTATCAGATTTAACACTCTGGGGTAAATGAATGGAGGAAAGTCGTAGTAGCTACGGAGTTGCGTGCAGCCGGCGACATAGGCAGACAGTTTCTTATCAGCTGTCCATATTGGTGGCAGAGCACTTATGGCTTATAACCGTGTGCAATGATGCTGGTTCACATCTTCTGACTTTACCTTTATATATATATAAAACACTAAATAATGCACATACACATATATAAAACAAATTCAGGAAATAATAACAGTAAAGAATACACATGCAGGATGACAAGTAAGAAAGCTAACACTGTTTGGTGATAAAAAAATGTGAGGTACAAGTATACAATCATACCACATTACACAAAACAACCATTCTCAGTGCATCAGTAGGAAACAAAATTGCAAAAAGTTACCCGAATCCTTCAATTTTCATATCCCTTATCTGAGAAGGTTAGATATCTGATTCACTACCCTAACAGCTGAATGTCAAAGATTTCAGAAACAGTTGTAAACTATCTCAGTTAAAATTTAAAAATAAAAATTTACAGAACAGTGGAGCATTAGATATATGATCCCAGACTCGTATTTATGTAGGAGGTAAAGTAGTAAAGTAAAGGGCCCTTTTCCACACCATTATGTGTATAGGGCATATAGGGCTAGACCTATATTTTTATAGACCAATCAGCACAAGATGGGTGATGTGGTCAGCACCACGCCAGCCGCCTTTACTTTCCCGGGACTGCACCCGGTACCCACTCAAGGCTGGGTCGACCTGGGAACCAAGGTCATTTTTGAAAAAAGTCCGGCTCCGCCAGGGAGCAAACCCACGACCTTCCGATCTGCGACGAGTGTCTAGCCGCTCGGCCACGGTGACTCCCCATATTTATGTAGACC